CAGTGTAGAATTTTAAATGCAGAAACAAGCACAGCTCCTGACTTCCTGTTACGCAATTCCTGTACCAGCCAGGGAACAACCATAGTGCCCCCTTCCCCTGCCCTTAAAAAAAAAAAAAAAAAAAAAAAAAACAGTTGGAAGGTAGGTAAAGGAACAAGGATAAGGATAGTATGATGTATACTAGGACTTCGGTCACTAAGAGTCAGTAGAAGAAAGAAGGGTGAATGTGGGGATAGGGATAAGTATTAAATCAACTTTGAAAAAAATCAAAGTAGTGGGGAAAAAGCTTGGAGAGGAACCTGAAGATGCTGTTAGGTTCTACAGATTTTAGAGATTGTTAAAGCTATGGAAGTTTTTGGTTCAGAAATATAAAGATGAATAGGTTAGAAATGAGAATGTATATGAGTTGTGCATAGGAAGAATAGAGAGTACCCAACTGTAGACTGGACAAAACAATCCTAAAACCTATCCAAACAATTTTAAACTAAAGCAGGATTATTATGAGATGTGCAAGAGTGAAGTTTATTTTTTTAAAAAGACAAATAAAAGAATAATAAACCAAGAGACAAAGTATAATAATAGATTAAAATTTTTTACATTATTATGGAAGGCATTCACTTCGCAATTCCAGTTCAAACTCATAAAACCAGATTTGGGATGTGTACTGCACCCAGGGAGTTGAGACCAGTTAAGCTTGCAGGTGCATTTCTGGCACAGCTGTACTGAGTTGAGTGTGAGATTATTTCCTCCTTGGTACTGTCTGGGTGGTGCAGTCAGGGGCAGGCATGAGCAGGAGCCTTGTCAGAGTAACTCACTTGAGTCCCAGTTGCCATACCAGGGCAACTGTGTAGAACCCAGGGTCCCCACCAGCTCTTGGTTCTGCTGCAGCTCTGCCCTTGAATGTGCTATATAGAAAGCTGCTGTTAAGTCCTTGTCTGGGGGTTCTCAGGGACTTTTATCAATCTCCACACTTGGCTCCAGCGTCACAACATCAATAGATGTTGAGCCCTTGCTCATGCAGCTGACTCTCCAGGTTTGCTATGTGTAAGGAGAAGCACTACTCCAGCAGTTTCTGCTGCCCTCCTTGGAGCCTCTTGGTTCAGTCAAATTCTGATTCACAAGTCATTTCTGCCAGCAGTCCATGGAGATCTCACCTGGACTAATAAGTTAATTGACAAATACAGTCTGTTACAGGAATAAAAATTGTTATGTTTTATCTTGACTGTTTCTTTCATTGAGTCTTATTGGTGGGACTGCCAGTCCACCATTTTACCCATAAATTCTCTGCTTAAATTCATTTTAGTCCAGACTATTGCTCTGGATATTGGTAGGGATCTATCACTGAGAGTGAGAATTTGAGCCTTTGTATGAAAAACAGTGATCATGTCAATGGCTGTTGTTTGACTCTGGAAGATGATGCTAATAGTTACCCAGTCCAAAAGATTTGTTATGAGACTTTTTTTTAAATTTTACACTTTTGAAAAAAATACTTATTTTTATTTTATGTCTGTGTTTTTGCTTGCATTTTATGTATGTGTACCATATATCTGCCTGATGCCCAAGGAAGCCAGAAGACGACATTGAACTGTAGTTACAGATAGTTGTCAGATACAGTGTGGGTTCAGGGAACTGAACCTGGGTCCTCTCTAAGAATGACAAGTGCTTTTAATTGCTGATCCATTTCTCTAGCCTAGGATGAGTCTTGTAGACAGAGAAATTCAACAGTCTGTAACTAGAGTATTTTTGTGTAGTCCATGCCATTATGCCTTTTTGGTTGGTTTTGTAGTAGAGTGGAGTAAGTTATGATAACAAAGAGTGCAGAATTCCTAGAGTGAATAAAAGAAGTTGAGGCCAGATGGTAGAGATAGAGTCATATTGTGAGCAAAAGAAATGATTACCATCCAGCTGGAAATACAGAGGCTCTCACACACTGACCCAGGAGAGGAACAAGAAAAGCCAAAATGAAGGGTTGTTTGAATTTTAAACATCATAGTCACAGCAGTTTTTATTATTTTGTTATTTTGTGTGTATGGGCGCTATTGCCTGCATATACGTGTGCGCGCTAAATTCATGCAGAAGGCCAGAAAAGGGCAACATCAGATCCCCTGGGACTGGAATTACTAAAATTATGAACTGTTGTGTGGGTGCTGGGGACTAAACCCAGGTCCTCTGGAAGAGCAGCCAGTGCTTGTAATAGCTGAGCCATCACTCCAGCTCACACAGCAGATTTTAAATACAAGGTTACATTTCTTGAAGGTGTAATTAATCTTAGAAATCCCCCTGATGATATTTATTCCAGGCTAGAGTTAGGGCATTCTCAATAACCTGAGCACTGGGCAAACTACCGAGGTATTTAGAGTAATACCCAGGCAGAACACAGAGCCAAATGCAGAGTTAAAAGCCCCAGAGGTCAGAGAGCAGTAGCTAAGAGCTGAGACCAAGACCAACTTCTTACCACCCGCTGCCGTCCTTCCCCTGAAAAAAGAGACCTACTTCCTGTGTGTCTTTTTATTGACTTTCTATTCTGCCTTCTCATTGGTTGTAAACCCAACCACATGGCCTCCTCATCACTGCCTGTCTATACAGACCTCCAGGTCTCTATGGTTGGTATTGAGATTAAAGGCATGTGTCTCCATGATGGCTGTATCCTTGAACACACAGAGATCTGCCTGTCATGTGATCGAGATTAAGGGCGTGTCTTACCAATGCCAGACTTCTGCTAAATGGCTTGCTATTCGCTCTGACCCCCAGGCACGTTTATCTATTAACATACAAATAAAATCACATTTCAGCACAAATAAAATTATCACCATACAGGCCACATGTAGATTTGTTGGTATAGTGTGAAAAGTTAGCTTGAGTTGAGCTTGATCTGAGATGGGAATCCTGAAAGTCTAGACTGCAGTGAGAGTGGTTAAGAATAACCCTGCCCTTGATTGAAAAGGTTGTTCTTGAAAGTCCTTTAAGAGGAAGGATACAGTCTCCAGGCCTGATTTCAATAAGATATAGGGTGAGATATGAGAAAAGTGCCAGGAAATGTTGACCAGCATGCTCCCCGATTAGGCTTCTAAGAATCAAGCTGTAAAGACTGAGCTGGTCGTTTCCTAAGATAGCGTTTGGTAGGGATCCAGTGTTGAGGAGAAAAGGCCTATGGTGGGATAACTTGAAAGGGCTTCAGCATAAAGGTGCTTGTTTTCTTTGTTTCTTTTCCTGTTGTGATGACAAACTACTATTGCAAAAGCAACCTAAGGGACAAAGGGTTTACTCTGGCTAACAGCCCCAAAAGGTGTCAATAACATTGAATAAACCACTTATATTGTTTGTATTTAGATACGAGTGAAATCTCTTTGCCAATCCTATCCAGGTAAGTTTCCCCTCAATTGAGTGGGTAAGGAAGAGGTAGGTTAGCCTCAGATGTCCTTGAGGACTGACAGGCCTACAGATAGAGCAGTTTTTACTGAATTAAATTTATAATTTAATTACTGATTTGAGAAGTAGATAAAGGGAATATGGAGAGGGTGAAGAGGCTTGCACCTCCGTATTATGTAGTCTGAGAGATGTTCCCTTTGTTGATGGAAGGATTTTTTTTCCTTGTAAGGAAAGCCAGAACCATTTTTGTTAGCTTCTTCCTCTATTGGCTCCTCCTCTTCCTTTTAGTCATACTCAGGAATGATGGAGGTAATGAATAGCCAGGGCTTCAGTGGCTGGAAAGGGTAAAAGAGTATCTTTCCTTGCTTTTTGTATCCATTCTGATACTTTCTAAAGCTTAAGTGTTGGTGTCCTATGCGGTAGATAACTGCAGCCTGGCTGGAGTTCGGGCAGCCCCAGTTAAAAGTCCTCTTCTAGATTGCTGCATGTGAATGCAGGGCGTGGAAGATCCTTTAGGAGTCAGTATAGATGTTAAGTCTTTGGCCTTTTTCCAGGATGAGAGCTCTGGTAAAGGCAGTAAGTTATGTCTTACGGGCAGATGTTGTTTGGGGGTATGTATATACTTATAAAAACTAAAAACCCATACCCCCACACAACATGTATGAGATTATCTATAACCACAGTCAGTATTCATAATCAAAAAATAGGAACAGGCGGAAGACAGAACTCAGTGGCACAGTACTTGTGTAAGCATGAGGATCTGAGTTCAGCTCCCCAACACTCATAAAATGTTGGGCATGGAGTTATGTACCTGTGATCCCAGAGCTGGGGACACAAGACGGGAAGATTCCAGGGGGCTCATTGTAGTCTTGGGTCCTTTTAGGATTGGAAGAGACTACTACTGTTCAACTACTGGATTTCTCTGTTTGTTACTATCTGAAACATGTATTTGATTAGCTTCAGAGATCTGATATGGGTTCTGTTTTCCCTGTTTTACTGCTGCAGAAATTAAGTACAAAGGTTAAACTTCATATCACTGTATACATGATGACATAATCAAGATGACAATCCAGTATTCTGGTCCCATTCTATGTTTTTAAGCACTCCACTCTTGGCTTTTATATACTGTTGGAAAATAATGGCATATTTCTTCATCTTGGCTGTTCTTTATATCAGACTCATGTCCTTTAGAGCATTCCCAAGTATAATAGGCCTGAGATAGAGAAAACATGCCTCTGCTTTTAAAGTTGGGCCATTAAGAGTGATTGATTACTTTTATTGGGATTGTGTGGTTGAGGGCAGTCACTATTTTTTTCCTTTCAGGAAAGAGAAAAGAGTTGAATGGGGTTTGGAACTCAGAACCCAATGATTATTGGCAAAACTCCTTTTCTAATTTCTAGCTCTTTGATGGAGTTTTGCCAAAGAGTTTTGATGAAGATGGAGGTAACACCAGGCTGAAAAAGGTTTCCACTCCCTCTCCTTGTCAGGTAGCCTTGTACTTTCTTGGAAGGCTGGTACAGTGTCTGGACTTCCACCCAAATCAAGTTTGAAGTGGTCTCATTTTATCATTCTGTTGCACATTTTCCAACTGATGCTTAATTTCTTGTTTTTTAATACCCGTGTTCATATAGATGGTCCCTAGTTCATGAGTGTCATTTGCTCTGAGGCATGCTTCTGCTCTCAGCCACATGATGGGAATCAAAGTAATCACTCTTGTGTGTTTACTGACATACAGCCAGTGAACAACACAGGTATGCAACTTCCTGTTTGTATAAGAGAAAATTTGTCAAATCCATTGTTATGTCTTTGTGAGTACTTTGGGTTTTTTTGTGTGTTTATTTAAGTTTGGAGTTTGGGTGTTTGTCTTTTGTTTTGTTGTTTTGAGTTTTTTGAGACAGAATATGTATGCCTGCTTGACCTGAAACTAACCATGTAGGTCAGGTTGACCTTGAACTTGTGGTTATTTTTCTAATGTACTGCCTCCAAAATGCTAAGATTATAGGCATGCATTAATATGTCTGCCTGTGGTTACTTGTATTTAGGAAGAATATGTGATTTTGTTGTTGTCTTTAATAATCTTACTTGACTTTCTTCTCCTTGGAGGACTGAGCAACACTTTTATCCATATAACAGAATAAGTGTTCCTGGAGCAGGAACACTTTTGAATTTGGTCAAGGTCATTATTTCTATGGTATCAGCTCTCTCACCTTATTTTTTTTTTAAGATTTTATTTATGTATGTATTTATTATGTATCCAGGGTTATGCCTGCATATATATATGCCTGCATGCCAAAAGAGGGCACCAGATCTCATTATAGAATAGAGCCATCATTTGGTTGTTGGGAATTGAACTCGGGACCTCTGGAAGAGCAGCCAGTGCTCTTAACCTCTAAACCATCTCTCCTGCCTTCTCTTACCTTCTTAAGATTCATTTCATGTTATCCTTCATTATGATGTCAAGTAGGAAACAGTTTTGTCTCCTGTCATTAGATTATTCAGACTTTTTAAAAATCTTGAAATCTTTTCTTTCTTTTTCCCTTCTCCCTTTCTCCTATACATTTATCTGAATAAAACATTTGACAGAAAGCTGGGTGGTGGCGGTGGCGTCACACGCCTTTAATCTCAGTACTCAAGAGGCAGAGGCAGGTGGATCTCTGTGAGTTTGAGGCCAGCCTGATCTACAGAGTGAGTTCCAGGATAGCCAAGGCTACACAGAGAAACCTTGTCTTGAGACAGAATCATTTATAATGCTTACCTGATATTATTTACTGCATGTTCACATTTAGAAGCAGGGATAATTATATACCTACTGACCAAGGTGTCTTTAACAGTCAAAAGATTATCATGTGTTAAATATTTACAACAGTTTCTAGCACATAAAAGCACTCTATAATTGTCATTTAGAATGCTGCTCATTAACAATAATTTATAAACCACTGGTTGATGGTTTAGAGAATATATTTTTATTTGTGCATTCATTTTATTTATTTGACACAGGTCTTACCCTATAGCCCAAGCTGGGCTCAAACTTACTGTGTAGCACAGGTTGGCCTTGTGGCAGTCTCCTTACTAGGATTTTTAGGAATTGGACACCACAACAGACCAGAAAATACATTTTAATACATTCCATACCTGAAGTTTTTCTATTTCACAGTCTTATTTTAGACTTTTTTTGGTTTTTCGAGACAGGGTTTCTCTGTGTAGCTTTGCGCCTCTCCTGGAACTCACTTGGTAGCCCAGGCTGGCCTCGAACTCACAGAGATCCGCCTGCCTCTGCCTCCCGAGTGCTGGGATTAAAGGCGTGCGCCACCACCGCCCGGCTTATTTTAGACTTTTTATTTGGTATAGTGGCTACATGAAAATGGTATAAATAGTCCATTTCATCTGTTAAGCTGTCATTTGATGTTTTGTTTCTGTATTTTTTTTTTTCTTTAGGACATTTCTGACTTATTGCGTCCTTGAAGAGCATCAGTAGAAGAGGAAAAAAAGAAAGATGGGTGTGAAAACATTTACTCACAGTTCTTCTTCCCATAGCCAGGAAATGCTGGGAAAACTAAATATGTTACGAAATGATGGACATTTTTGTGATATCACTATTCGTGTCCAGGACAAAATCTTCCGGGCTCATAAGGTAGTACTAGCAGCTTGCAGTGATTTCTTTCGAACAAAACTTGTTGGCCAAGCAGAGGATGAGAACAAAAATGTGTTGGATCTGCATCATGTTACAGTGACTGGCTTTATACCTCTATTAGAATACGCTTACACAGCCACTCTGTCAATTAACACAGAAAATATTATTGATGTTCTCGCTGCAGCAAGCTACATGCAAATGTTTAGTGTTGCTAGTACCTGCTCAGAGTTTATGAAATCAAGTATTTTGTGGAATACACCTAATAGCCAGCCAGAAAAGGGTCTAGATGCTGGACAAGAAAATAGTTCTAACTGCAATTTTACTTCTCGAGATGGAAGTATTTCTCCAGTGTCTTCAGAGTGCAGTGTTGTGGAAAGGACCATTCCTGTCTGCCGAGAATCCCGGAGAAAACGCAAAAGCTACATTGTTATGTCCCCTGAGAGTCCTGTAAAATGTAGCACACAAACAAGTTCACCCCAGGTATTGAATTCTTCAGCTTCCTATGCAGAAAATAGAAATCAGCCAGTTGACTCTTCTTTAGCTTTTCCATGGACTTTCCCTTTTGGAATTGATCGAAGGATTCCACCTGAGAAAGCGAAGCAGGCAGAAAACACCCGGACTTTAGAATTGCCTGGCCCATCTGAGGCAGGTAGAAGAATGGCTGACTATGTGACTTGTGAGAGCACAAAAACTACCTTGCCTCTAGGTACAGAAGAGGATGTGCAAGTCAAAGTAGAGAGATTAAGTGATGAGGAAGTCCATGAGGAAGTGTCCCAGCCTGTCAGTGCGTCTCAGAGCTCACTGAGTGATCAGCAGACAGTGCCAGGAAGTGAACCAGTTCAAGAGGACCTTCTGATTAGTCCACAGTCTTCCTCTATAGGTATAAATGCTTCCTATGTTTTTCATGATTTTTATAGTCAGTTAAACATTTTTAGGTTTTTATTTTCTGTGCTCAGTCTTATTTAAAAAAAAAAACATGAAGGGGATGTGTTAAAATATGATAATTGAATTTAATTATTTGTTTGTTTGTTTGCTTGTTTTTGGTCCAGGTCTCAATATATAGCCCTGGCTGGCCTGGAACTCACAGAGATCTATCTGCCTCTGCTTGCAAAGTGCTAGGATTAAAGGCATGAGCCACCATGATTAAAGGCTGATGATTGAATTTTTAAAATTATTATTAGCATTATATGTTTTGTGTATGTGTTTAACAAGTTACACATTGAGGAAGAGCAAAGGTCAATGGGGGATATAAGGGACAACAGCAGAGATAAAAATTGTGAATTTCCATTTATTTAAAGAGACAGTCTTGCTTTGTAGTCCAGGTTGGCCTCGAACTGCTGATCCTCTTGCCTCAGACTCCTGGGTGCTGAGATAACAGGTATATACCACCAGACCCTGCCATGAATTACTTTCACTATGAAAGAAAACGGGTTTTGAAAATCTAGTTAAGAATCCAGACACAGTGATGCAGGCGCTAAGGAAGCACAGGCAGGAGGGTAGTAGCTCACAGCCGTCCTCAGCTGCATGATTAAGACCTGGCTAGGAGAGACCCTGTGTACCATGGGGATCCACTCCTTGTTTTGTTCTTATTAAAATGGGTAAGGGCATTTGCTGCCACATCTGAGGACCTAACCTCTGATAAAAAGACAGATCTTAGCATGCTTGTGCTTTCTCCCCTTGGTTCCTCCTCCCCTCTCTGTCTGTCTGTCTGTCTGTCTCTCTCTCTCTCTCTCTCTCTCTCACACACACACACACACACACACACACACACACACACACACAACATAAATGTAAGAAATAAAAATATTTATTGAAAATTTAAACAATGTGCCAAACATGCTGCTGTGTAAGGAGAAAGAAAACATCACTCTTAATAACAAAGGAGGTACTAGCCCAAATGGAGAGGCAGATATATCAATAAGGGACTACAACAAACCAGTAAAGATCCTGTGCTGGACAAATTAAAAGGCATTATTAGTGTAGCAATAGTGAGAATTTGCCCAAGTAAGCCCACAAAGTGAAGATGTTAAGAAACAAAGCACCTAGTAGAAGAGCTTGATGGTTTAGAACACTGAATGTTCAGTAAGCAGTGAATCTAGTGCAAAATGATATCCAGAGAAAGCATGGGTACTTGAGTCCTTGGGGAATGAGTGGGAAGTCCAAAGGAGCTGGAAAAACAAATTGTGGAGAGCCTTGAACACAGTTCCGTTAAGAGTTACATTCACCTACGTGTAACAGACCCCTTCTACAGTGGCTTTACCAAACAGGATCTTTTTGTTTTTAATTGCATGATATGTTCTAGAATAGGAAGTCTAGAACTGGTAATGTGAATCCACAGTATAATAGTATTCTAAGTATTCTTAGTGTTCTAAGCTCCTTGTATATGTATATCTTACCGCCTTTAGTTATCAGTTTAGCTGTAGGCTTATTTGTGGTTATAAGCTCCTCTTGACTTGCATTCTAGAAAGGGGTAGATAGCACTTGTGATCAAAAATGCACTGAGGTTTCCCAGAAGCTCTTAAGAAACTAGTGTTAGTTTGTGCCTCATTATCTTTCTTAGCTACAGCGAACCTGAGAAAGTGATTATTTGTTGAGTAAACAACGGCTTTGAACAGAATTAGAGCAGAGTAGAGCTGGTGTAGCAATGTGTGCCTTAACCCCCCAGGATTAGGGAGGCAGATGCGGGAGATGGATCTCTTTTGAGGATAGCTAGAGTGCTACAGAGTAAGACCCTATCTCAGAAATAACAACACCAATAATAAAGCATAGTGGGTATTGAACATATAACAAGCAGTGCTCACCATAGATACAAACTCAGTAAGCTTGTATTTCACCGTAGTCGGTCTGTCTCAAGAAGACTGTAAAGTATGCAGGCCCTCGAGGAAAACCAGTTTGCTTTTGGTATTGGTATGCAAGAGATTTGGCTCAGAAACCTATTAACCTGTATAAGACTAAAACTATTTTTTTTATTTTATTTACTTTTTTTTCCCCCCTAACATATGAAGTCTCTACCTGTGTGGCCTGCGTTCCAGAAGAGGGGCTTTTTATAAGATGGTTGTAAGCTACCATGTGGTTGCTGGGAATTGAACTCAGGACCTCTGGAAGAGAAGCCAGTGCCCTTAACTGCTGAGCCATCTCTCCAGCCCCCAAAACTATTTTTTAATTACAATATTTTATAAATAATGAATCAACACAACCTAGTAATATTGAGTATGTGCAGTGAGAAGAAGGGGGTCAAAGTACTCAGGATGAAATAATTGTTTCTATTATATTCATTGATTCTAAGTAACAAGTTTAATTTATTGTCTAAATCTAGATGTATCTTACATTGATAATCTTTGTCATTATTTTTTTTCTTTCTTAAAAGGACACAAAAATTAATAACTATAAAATAGAATTTTTTCATCTAAATTCAGTAACTGCAGTATGAACATTAGTAGGAGAAGGTTGGAGACTCACTTATTAACTTTGTTAATTTCTTGTGTTTTGACACACTGTTGAGTTTCCAGGGCTGCTACAACAAAGTACCACAAGCTTGGTAATTTTCAAATAGTACAAATGTATTTTCTCACAGCTCAGAAAGCTAAAATTCTTAAAATAAGGTGCCAGAGATCTCTGTTCCCTTTAAAGGTTCCCTGGAAGAACCCTTTCTTGCTTCTTCAAGTGACAGTTGCCATCATTTACATTCCTATAAATTATGGTTTTATCATTCAGATCTCTACTTTTATCTTAACATGACTTTCCTTGTGTGTCCAGATCTGTCTCTGAATCTCTGTCCTTATGATGATACCAGTCATGGGGTATGGGACCTCACTTGATCTTATGTAACCACATCCTAACTTGACTATATCCACAAAGGCCCCATTTGCAAATAAGGTCGTATTTTTAGTAGCTAAGGTAGGACATCAACGTTTGGGAGACAATTTTATATACCTGAATTTGAGTAAAGAAATTTTTGAAGAATTGAGTAAAGAAAATTTGAAGAATAAATATAACATTGATAAAATGTTTAATGTGCGCAGATCATAGCTATTTTGAGTCTTTAGTCTTAAAACTATAATTGCTATTATTTGAAAATTTAGAAATCCAAATATTTAAATATCTTGGTAACTACACGTGAAATATTCATTCATTACTTCCAGGTATTTCTACTCAGTTCATATTTTGCCTTTACAGTCTTACTAAACATGGCTATATAAAGAAATGAGTATAAGTAGATAAAACCTTTAAGTTAGAGAAGCAAAGTTTCTGCCTATATTGTTGTGGATTCTGTAACATGGACATAGGACTATCTGACCTAGATATCATGTAATCACATACTCTGAGTGGTTTTTTTCCCCCCTGCCTTCATAATCAGGTGCACTAATTATCTTACATCTACAGATTTCTACATTAAAACAAAGGTGTAAAGAACAGAAAAGTAAATCCCTAGGATACTGTGGGCAGTCAATAAATGTTCTATTCATAGTGTTTTGTTCTCTGTATTTCAGAAGAGCATTACTGTGAGCAGTTCATTTTACTTAGTAATTGATTAAAGAAGATACCAAAGTGATAGCTTATCATTCTACTGACTGATAAATTTGATACCTAATAACATTTATTCTGAAATTTTGTAGTAAAAATTTGACTATGTATTTTATTCAAGTGGAATTTTACCTATATTTTAAGTTCCCGTTTTCACCAGTTGCCCTGTAAGAGGTAGAAATCTAACTCGAGCATAGAGTAAGTGGAGGCAGTAATTACAACAGATCTAAAAGGGAGTAAGTGCTGCTGAGATGTGTCTTATTATCTAGAAAGATACGAGTGGGGCTGGAGAGGTATTCAGGGGTTAAGAGTGCTTCCTGCTCTTCTAAAGGAATGGATACAGTTCCCAGCACCCACCACTCAGCTCACAACTGCCTACTAACTCCACCTTCAGGAGATCCAGTGCCCTCTTCTGGCCACTGCAGTTACTGCAGTCACATGTACACTCAGTGCACACATAGGTAATTCAATTTTTTTTTTTTTTTGAAACACAGGCCATCAATTTGTAGAACATTTCAAGAAAAAAAGAATCTTACATGTAATGGCTTCATTATTTTAAAGTATTCAGTTATCTGTATTCACCAAGAACAAATATGAATGACTTTAGATAAGCTGCAGCTCACTGAGCTAGCAAAGGAATTCTGAACTCTAGACTAGAATTCTACCATTAAAAATAAAGTGACTAAAGTTTGCTCAGTCACCTTTTCCAGAGGACCAAAACTGTACTTTTTGAAATTGTCAGAAGCTGCTCTTAGTGTTTCTGAAAGCAGCTCCTTACCTCTTTGTGATAGAGTTTGAGGCAACATACAGATCTTTTGAAGCACCCGTCATGCCGACTTGTAAGAGTAAATCCTAAGATTCAAAGTAAATTCCTGATTGTTAAAGGCTGCATATTCACTTAAATGTCTTTAGAAGGCCACAAAACGGTTTCACCAAGGAACAATTTGTATCTGGGTAAATAGCCAAAATACTCCTAAAAGACCTTATTTATAAGAAGCAAAATGAGCCAAGCAGTGGTGGCACACGCCTTTAATCCCAGCACTTGGGAGGCAGAGGCGAGTGAATCTCTGAATTCGAGGCCAGCCTAGTCTACAAAGTAAGTTCCGGGACAGCCAGGACTTCATAGAGCTCAAAAAACAAAAACAAACAAACAAAAAAATGACGAAGAAGAAGCAAAATAAATCCAGCAGAGCAAAGAGCAGTCACTGAAATAGTTGAGCTTGGCTCATGAGTTTACCCGCCAGGCAAGGGCAGTTTGCATCTCAAAAAGGATTTCCAATCTTCAGTGTTGTCAAAGAGCTTTAATGCATGGGAACTAGAGAATCTCTTAGACTTCCATTTCTGTCAAGTGCTATC